AGCAGGGAGTCTGCTTCTCCCTCTGACCCTCCTCCCTCTCATGCTGTCTCTCATTCTCGCTCTCAAATAAATAAAATCTTTAAAAAAAAAAAAAATATTAAATGCACCGTAAACAGTAATTTGCAATATTCACTTCTAATATTTGAGAAAAGAAACACTTGACTCAAGAATTACTGCGATGCTACCTCACCCCAATTATTTCTGGGAGCAAAGATGGCCCTTGAGCAGAATCTATAACTGCTGCTAACTGACGGTATCCTCTGCATCTATTCACAGCAAACTGAAGATATCACCATAGTATTATCTTTAAAGAACACCGAAGTTTTTACTACTCAGATTCGAGCAAATAAAAGACGGTGAAGCAAGATAAAGTTAGTTCTAGGCTTAGGCCTAGGCGAATCTGGAACGGTAATAGTCCCCATGAAAACGAAGCTATCAGTAGGTAGAATTTTGACAAGGTTGGAGAAAGGAAGCAGTTCGATGCCCAATTCTTACTTTGTAAAATGTTTAGAACAATGCTAATGCCTTTTCCATTAGATGCTCAATAGTTTTTCCTTCCTCACTGAAAGTTGCTAGCCTGTTCAAGACATGAGGGCATTCACACTGCAATTTAAAAAACGACTCTAAGAACAAACACTGGAAGAAGGAAAAAATGCAAGCAACACTTATTCTTTCTTTTAATATAGTCTAAGCAAATGGCAGGTGTGCAAATACTCATTTATATATCCATATTCAACAGCCTGAGGTTTTTTGCTTGATATTATTGTGGTTGGGCTTCTGGGTGGTGAGAAGGTTGCTGTTTTCAACAACTTATCTTTTTCCCCCACTGGGCTTGGCATGATGCCTGACATTCACAAAAAAGCACAAAAACATTAAATTACTTCAATCTTAGAACATTCTACCTACAAACAATTCATCTCAATCAGTTTCTAGTGAGTTAGCTAATTAAACGAGCACTCAAATGCTGCTTGCTGAGCCGAACTGCTCGCAGTTAAATTTTTCAGTGAAAACGAACACTGCCCCTCAATGCTGCAGCTACATCCATTCTCCTCGTAGTACCACCAACATTCACCTTGGCATCTAACACAGGGGGCTCTGCCAAGAACTTCCTCACATTTCCCACCCACCTAACCCGTTTACTCTCTCAAGATTCCAATCAGGTGCCACCTCCTCCAGGAGAGGTACCCCTTCTTTGTGCACCCCCAAAGGCAGAGCATGTGGTTATGTGACTCCGCTGTCCCTCCCCTCAACTTTAAGCGATCTTAAGTATGAAATCGTATCTCACTTGCATTTCCATTCCCCGTGCCTATCACAGTATTGGGCCCAAAAGCAGAACATAAATTTGTTAAGACACAGGCTTGTTTGCAGTATTCCAGGAGGTATTAATTCACATAAAATACATGCAGATACCCCTTTCGTGATGGCTTTTTCTGTACGCTATCTGCAACTATCAAGAACTTAATAACATCGGCCCAAATCATTGTGATAGGGTCCACCTTAATTTGTATATTTAAGCATATAAACAAAATCTCCACAACTTGAAAAAATATAGGGGCGCCTAGGTGGCTCAGTCATTAAGCGTCTGCCTTCAGCTCAGGTCATGATCCCAGAGTCCTGGGATCGAGTGCAGCATGGGGCTCCCTGCTCTGCTTGGAGCCTGCTTCTCTCTCTCCCTCTGTCCCTCCCCCGCTCATGCTCACTCGTGCTCATGTTCTCTCTCACACGCACTCTGACAAATATATCTTTAAAAAAAGAAAAAAATATATATCTGTGACTGTCATATGCATAACTGTAATAAGTCACGTGCTCTTTTACTGCTGAAGGAACTCTTTAGAATACACTGGGAAAATTCTGTCCTTATCTGCAATCTGTCCTAATCACTAATTCACCTCTCCTCTAAACCACCACAGCACTTCTCATGAAATATTTTATTATACTGGGAGACCTTCCTCATGCAAGTATTAAATATTTTCTAAACAGAAAATAAAAAAGCAATACACCTTTCCTTTCTCTCCCCACTCCTCCTACTCTATTTTTCACCTAACACTCATCACACACACACACACACACACACACACACACACACTCTCTCTCTCCTACACTCACGAGTGGAGATTACTAAAAAAAGATATTTGGAAATATCAGCTCTTTTCCTAAAGATGCATGGATGGTATATTCCTACCACTTTTAAAAATGTGTGTGTGTGTGTGTGTTGTGTGTGTTGTGTACACACACACACACGTATCATGCACCATTTCATTTTATGGCCCAGATTACAGGTAACATTTTAAATTATCATTCACTCTAATACTTCATATGCATAAGTTCAAGATTATCATCAATATAATAAAGATTAGTAAAACTAGCACAAATATTAGCAATCACCTCTAAACACTGCGAGGCCAAAGTATAGCTTTACTACAAGACAAACAAAACAAAACAAAAATCAGGGAAAATCAATGGTTGTGTTACCTTTAAGACACGTTTGATAGAACCCAATACAAAGTCTCTCTGTGGATGCTTCCTGTTCTGAAGGATCCAGTCACGATTTAACACCTTTTCCCCTTCTTCCAGCACACATTTCTGACCCTGGAAATGTGGCTTCTCATACAAAATCCAGCTGACAAAATATAAAAGCATGATCAGTTATAATTAATTTTCTAAGAAATGAGGCATAAAACAAATGATAGCCCATAGACCATCTCACCTACCTATCTTTTAAAAGCTGAGCTATTTTCCACCATTAGCACACAATTCCATTTTTGAAACAATGATATATGCTAATGTAAGTATAGATAAATAGCGTAAGAATAAAAGTGCATTACAACTTGGAAATAGTCCTGAACATAATCAATGCGTATGCTTATATACAGGTACACAAGCGCTTTCTAGATGGTATATAAACAAAGCCATACATTTCTATTAAAACAGCAGTTTAACAATTCCAAATTTTAAATAAAATGGGAGCACACGTGTCCCATTTTATCACATGAAAACAACACTACACCATACCACTTACATCATGAATATTGACCAGTGAGTAACTGAGACACCGGACAAAGAAATTTGGGCTCCAGCATGTCTAAGGGAAATGGTCAATAACAACTGAGGTTTTCCCTCATTTTTACACCATATAAAGAATCCTTCACTTCTTGACTATGTCAGCTATACAAATGACTAAGTATGTGGCCTTCACATTCCTTAGCATCCCACAGATTTTGAACTCACTTTCAAGGCTGTGCTTCATTCAACTCATGCCTTTAACTCAACTTGCCAATTCTATCCTGCTAATAGTGTAGTTTCAGGATGGTATTGATTGTATATATATATTAGGTCTTGCTACTTATAGCTGGCTTTAAGCACTAAAAACAACCTATATTTTCTGTCACAGTAGATAAAGAGAACAATTATGTTATAAAACACTAATAATGTTTCAAAATATTCTGTCAAAAACCAGAGGAAAAGGAATGTGACTTCAATAAAAAATATAAAAAGCATAAACAGTAAGAAAATACACTTAGTTGGGAGAAACATGCTACAAAATTTTAAGAGATCTCTTACCAGCCCCTTACAACTTTTATCAGTACCCCATTCGGAAAGGACCATGATGTAGCATCAGGAATACTACAGTAGATCTCTTGCTTATATTTACTTCCATGGAGATCATAGATAACCATCTGCAACATACAGTAAGTAGGCACAATAACTAATTTTAAGAATGCATTTAAAATTCCAAAATGTCCTAGAATGTAGAAAATAAAATATCCTAAATATATAAAAGTAATTATTACTTTAGATGCTAAATCTGTGAGTAAAATAATCCCTTTTAAAGTCAGTTAAAAGTATTTACTTTAAACTCCCCAAACCTGAAAGTAACCTTGTTTTTTTTTTTAAGTCAACTCAGTATCCAATGTGGGGCTTGAACTCACAACCCCAAGATCAAGAGTCGCCTGCCCTCCCAACTGAGCCAGCCAGATGCCCCTAAAGTAACTTTACTTTTCGTATCTTAGTCTATAAGAAACTTACCCTTACGGGGTGCCTGGGTGGCTCAGTCAGTTAAGCGTCTGCCTTCAGCTCGGGTCATGATCTTAGGGTCCTGGAATCGAGCCCCACATCGGGTTCCTTGCTCGGTGGTGTCTGGCTCTCTCTCTCCCTCCCTCTACCTCATGCTCTCTCTTGCACTCTCTCTCAAATAAATAAAATCTTTTAAAAGAAAACCAAACAAACAAGAAAAGAAGCTTATGCTTACCTTCCCAGGTCTTGGGTTACACCTCAAAATTTGTTTGTTAATATTCTGAAATAATAAAAGTGTAAGAAGGAAGCCTTAAAAAACATCAACAGAAAGATATAGTTCAATTTCTTAGCAGTCACAAATCTAATTTATCACATATTTACTTAGGGGCCATTAAATGCAAAGCACACCTCTAGGTACTACAAGGAAAATGATGTGTTATTTGTGCCCTCAAGAAGCTTATAGCTACAAATGGGGAAAACGATAGATCACACTCACATGACTCTTCTAAGTGAAGGACTAAGTTAAACTACAGGTAAAACACAAAAAAAGAAGCCAAGTGATGGCCATCAGGGGAAACGGCACCATCATGGAGGTCAGGTGATGGCATAGGGAGGCACCCAAAGGCTTGTCTGAGCAAGTGATATGGAGAAGACCTTGAAAAACAGGATTTCAACAAGTGAAGCAATGTGGCAGGTTGGGGTCAGGGAGTAGCACTAAAAAAACTTCCATGAAGAGAACATACTGAGGAAAAGTACAGTGGTAGGAAACACAGGGTGCATGACCAGAGCATGAGAAGACAAGGCTGGACAAACAGGACCTGGGTGTGTTGGAATGCAGTGAAGATGTTCCCCATGACTTGGTAGGTGATGAAGAATCATTAAAGAAACATTTCTTCAAATCCCACCCTTTCTTTTTTTAAAAAGACTTTGCCTTGCAAGCTACTGGTTGATATTCAAGTATATAACTATCTGATACTATGGGTATTCAAGGACTTTGGAATCCTAGAGAAAGTTCCATGATCTTGGGAATGCCAGAAAGGAAAGTCCCACGTTAAATGGATATATTCTATGTTAGACATTTAAATATTTCTAAGGCAAAGAATACATATAACTGAATTTCAAGGCATTTTCCAGTTATAATGCTTTCAGCTTTTTCTTTGAATTAGGCTGTTCATTGCCTTGCTTTGTACGAACAACATGAGCAATTATAGTGAGAGGACACTGTGAGGTTGTCACTTAAAATGTTTTAAAATATTAGGAAATATTTTACTGAGACACATAGGTTCAATGGTTCCAGTAACAAATTCCCTATATACAGTATCTTCAGAAATTCAAATGCTATCATTTAATTTAGCTTGAAAACTAAATATTAGCAAAGAACTGGGAAATAACCTGCTTCTCCCTTATGCCTCTTAAATTCTGACTAAGCAATTTTGTTTTCTCATTTTAACAGTCCAGCTAAAATACAGCAGTTGTGACACACTTCAATTAAAGGATAAAGTAACCTCTGATATATTTTTAAAACAATCCTTACACAACCTCAAAACACTGATTTTCTTAATAAGCTTTCAGATCATTTTATGACCCAAAGCACTACCTCACTAGTTAATAATCAAAGTAACTTACCTCTGTGAACGGGCTTAATCTGCCTGAGATGTCCTGAGCACTGAAGTATTTTGACACTGGTTCCTGAAAAATCCCACCAAATCGGGGTCCCTTCTCTGAGGAATGGGTTTTGGAAGTCTGCAAATACTGATGATAAGCACTCTTTAAAGAAGAATGTAGTTTGGAAGTAAGGTCAGATTTTTGTAGAAATGAAGACTTTTCTGGCCACAGACCAACTTGCAGATTGGAGGTAGCAGGTTCATTTGACATTACATATGAATTCTTAGAAATTCCAGTCCTTTCCTGGCTATCATCGGGGTAAAATGCAATGGAAGGGTCTGGCCGCTTGAAGGCTTCCTTCCTCCTAGCTCTCAGGCTTCCTTTATGTAACGGTTCCTCCTCCTCCTCCTCGTCCTCGTCCTCCTCTTCCCCTACCACCTGTCTGTCTTCATCAAAATTCATCTTTAAACGCTCTGATACAGACTGCAGAAGGGATAAAACAGAAGAGGGCTGGCTTGCACTCTCTCTTGATTTTGTGGAGCCATGGTGACCAGGCGAGACCTCGTTGGACAGAATGTCCTCCTGAGAACTGTCATCCTCATAAATGGGAGACAAAGCTAAGGGATAAATTTTGTACCTTTTGGCCTCCACTGATAAGAACGATTCTGAACTATCACTATCAAATGTCTCACCTAATTTAGTATCCTTTTCAAAATGATGGACGAGGTCAGTTCTGCTCTCAGACCCCTCACATGCGACAACAGGCATGCTGTCAGCAGATGTCTCAGGAAACAAGAGAGTGTGTGTTCTTCTTACTTCTGCGGTGGCACACCTGTCCTCATCTTGAAGGGGTTCTTCATATAATATAGTAAAGGAAGAATTTTCTTGTTCATCCTGAGAAATGAAGGCCAAGTTAGATTCTTCTTTTTCATCGCTATAATTATCATCCCTTATTTGGTTATCTACTGCAATAACAGATGTTCTTCTGTCTAGCTTCCCTATGGTACCCTCAGGTTGAAAATCCGGCATTGCTAAAACTGGGTAGCCTTCATAATCCTTACTTAATGTCGGTGATTCATATCCCCTGAAATAGGAGGAGGCAAGTCTGTTGTCACATGCTATCAAGCCTTCCTTTCTCTCAGGGGGCTCTCTCTCCATTTCTCCAGCACTCTCTCCACCAGACTTTTGCGGGGTTTTTTCAGCTTCATATATGGGAGGCATGGCCTCTGCTTGTGTAACAGGCAAGTCCAGGTCTGTTCTGTATGTTTTCTGAATGTTTACCATTGTGGAATACACTTTGTGTTTCCTGAGAGCCTCATCAGAATCTTCTGGAGATATTCTTTCCATTTCTCTTGGAGAGGGCATGGACACAATCATGCCGAGGGTCTCTTTAGCCTCTCTCTTACATGGTTTTTCCATTTCTAAGGAGGCAGGGACTGTCGCCTTGTGAGCTTCTTCCACTTCTATCACTTCAGTTTTCCTAATACCTTCTCCAGCATCCTTTTGATAAGATATTTCCACCACAGGTCTTGCAGTCTTTCCAGTGATGCCTTCCACATTTTTTTCATAGATATTTACCACTTCTAACATAATGGGCATAACCTCAGTTTTGTCCAGGTCCCCTTCAGCATCTCTTAGGTAAGTATCTTCCATTTCTAATCCAACAGGTATCACCTCAGTCTCAATATCCCCTTCAGCATCCTCTGGGTAAATATCTTCCATTTCTAATGTGGCAGGTATCACTTCAGGCTTTTCAGTAATCCCCTCAAAGTCTTTTTGGTAGACATCTTCCATTTCTGACATAACTGCTGTGATCCCAGTCTTGCCAATATCACCTTCAGCATGCTTTTGGTAAATATTTTCCATTTCTAATCCAACAGGTATCACCTCAGTCTTTACAATATCCCCTTCAGCATCCTTTTGGTAAATATTTTCAATCTCTAATGTGGTAGGTATTATTTCAGTCTTTCTAGTAATTACCTCAGCATCTTTTTGGTAGATATTTTTCTCTTCTGAAATAACAGGCAGCATGTCAGTTTTGCCAAGATCTCCTTCAACATCCCTCTTCTTATAAGCTTTTTTCATTCCTAAAATGGCAGGTAATCCTTCAGTTTTTTCAATATACCTCTCAGCATCTACTTGGTATACCTCTCCCACTTTAAGAATGTCAGCTATTGGCTCAGTTTTTGTGATATTCAATTTGGCTTCCTTTTTATGTGCTCTTCCCATTTCTGACACAGGAGGGACTGCCTCATATTTCATAAAATTCAATTCAGCATCCATTTTGTTTGTTTCTCCCAGTTCTAACATGGAAGGTCTAAGCTCCATTTCCCCCATATTTACTTCAGTATCTTTCTTGTGTACTTTCCCTACTTCTGACGTTGTAAGGAGTGTGCTTTTATTACTGTGTCCCAGCAAGCTTTTTTCAGATATACACACAAGACTATCAGACAAACTGCTTTTGGATGTCCCAGGTACATGGAGGTCATCATTTGCAAATGGAGGCCATTTGAAATTTAATACAAGAGTTTTTGTATTCTCTGTCCCAGTTTTGTGATTATCCACACACTCTATTTCCACTTTCTCTTTAGAGTCCTCTTTGAAAAATAAATGTGTTTTTACCTTATTATCTAACCCTTTATGGGGTGTGTCTTTGGCTAGCAAAACAGTATCCGATTTCAGCAAATTTATACTATCAGACTGTCCAGCTCCATTTCCAGCAAACGGGGATTTTTGGTAGAGAACAATTTCTCTTCCTTTAATTGACTCTGTGTCATTAACTAAGTTACTTACAGAGCAGAATCTACCTAATACTTTATTTTCACTAATTTCACACGTGCTTTGATTTACTGCCTGTTCAGACACCAAGAACTCCCTTAATGTATCATGTGGCTTAACACTATCACTGTTCAGAATTCCTGAAGTATTAGCCTGAAGTTCAGAATCCCAGGTATCCTCAGTATCTTCAAAAGCTTCATTTGTCAAATTTTCTTGGGCTGAATAAATAATCTCATTGACTAATTCCCTAGCTTGATCTTCTAACAAACAAGATAAATTCATTCTATCAGAATCAAAAAGGAGACTCTTCTCACCAACTGTAGGTGAAACACAGACCTTTTCTTCCCCTCGGGCAGCTGACCTGTTTTCCATGCCCTGCTCTTCCAAATGCTCCGTCAGTTGAATCCCGGTCAGTGTCACTTCTGATGGTTTTTTCTCACGGATGTCTTCTTTCAGAGTACCTGGATTCATTATGCCATCTATGGCTATATGCTCCCGGCAGGTAGCAACTCTGTGTTTGGATTTTAATTCTTCCCTGACAGAGTTAAAAATTTCACTAATCAATGTATCAGCCTTTCTCAGTAAACCACTTCTGAGGTCCAAAAGTTGGTCATGTGCTCTCCTCCTTGCTTCTGTGTGCTCAGTAGATGCTTCAGAACACTGCTGGCTTGAGCTGTTAACTGACGCTGGAGCCCCAGCAACTGCTCCAGTCTCCAGTTCCATGGGATTGTCAAATTGGGCAGCAGTTGGGAAATCAAGAGATCCCTTCCCAGTAGGATTCCCAAAATGTTCCTCAAATGGGGTCACTTCTGACCCTGTTGGGACAGATGTTTCCAATTTCAAATAAGAGCACTTAGGGTACAGCAGGTTAGTCAGAGAGGCACCTTCAGGTGTGGCATCTATGGTAACTTTTACAGAACTGAAATTATTTGGGGGGTTATGTGAACTTAAAACCACACTAACTTCTTCAGAGTTACTGGAGGAAGACATGTTATTAATACCACCACTTAGGAAATGAGTATTCTCTTTCCTTCTATGAGATAAGGCTTTCTTTTCTGATTTCAGCACAGGAGCATTATGAAAGTGTGAATCCTCAGATGCAAAAGCATTTTTTTCCGAACTTCTATCAGAATCCAGAACAGGTGAATTTACTTTTGTGCTGTCAGTTTCTTGGAATTGTGGCGAAGCACTAGTTAGGCTGAGTTTTGCCATTTTTGAGAAACCAGAAATCTTTCTAGTCCCACAAATATCTGAAGGTTGATGAATCACACAAGCATGGGCTTCATAATTCTGTGCCATTTGCCTAGTGACTTTTTCATTACGAAGAGGAGGTAAAATCTCAGATGTATTACTTTTGGGAAAAGCAGGAAGATAAACTAAGGCTTCTGCCTCTGTTTCCTGAATACCTTGATATTTAGAGGCAGGAAGAGAAACTTCAGTTTGACAATTCTCTGCAAGGCCAGAAGTTGAATATTTTTCTTTTATCTCCTTATGATCCATCGATTGAAAACTTTTGTCCTGTTCAACCTCTTGGGAAGCTAATTCCGATAAAGTAAGCTTTCCTGGCATATCTGTAACTTCAAATGGAGAAGAAATTTTATCCTGAGAGATGTATCTGGGCTCTGTTTGGGAAACAGCTATCTTGGAGAGGGCTACAGTGTTTTCTCTTCCAGAATGCAACTCAACAGGACCATTGTTCTGACCATCAACTTCCACTTTTGAGAAAATTTTGGCAATGTTAGGTTTGGTTTCCAAGGAAAGAAAATCAGACTTCTCTATGGTGCTCTTACTTGCTCTAGTGTTTGAAAGCATCAATTCTGCTTTAGTAAGGTCTTGAGATGAAATGGAACTGTGGTCCTCAGAGAGGCTTTCAGACTCCAATCTCGAGTCCACTCTGGTTACATGAACATCTCTGGCTGTAAGATCTAGTGGAACGTGGCATTTTTTGCCATCAGGAAGAACTTCCTTGGATTCAAGAGTTGCAGAGGCATGCCCAAGACGAAGGCAAGCAGGAGGCCTCTTCCCATCTGCTGCCTCAACACGATTTGCCACGTTTTCTTCTTGACACTGACTAGGCTGATTGGAAATATCAACAATGTTGACATCCCCAGTTTCGGTGAGCACAGAACATTCATCCTTTAAAACAGGAATATCTAACTTGCTTGGCATACCAACTCTGGAAACAAAGGTAGGAGATGAAATACTGAAATCTGATTTTTTACAGTCAAGGGTAAGAGATGTTCTGACACCAGGTGATGCTTTGGCTTGTTGAAGACTCTCAGAATCAAGAAGAGATTCTGAAATGTGCTTTCGGTTAGGTTCAAAATTCAGTTCAGGTGCTATTTTACTTTCTAAGCATGCTACAATGGCTGATTCACTGATGTGTTTTACAGAGGCAGGGTTGTTTTGATTTATTCTAACCATACGAGGCATTTTGCCATGTGGCCTAAAATCGGGCCTTCTGGCTTCTGTTATAAACTGGTCAGTATCTTTGGGTAATGGCTCAATTCTACCTTTCGGAGCTTTTATGAGACTTGAAGCTCTGGGTTCACCAACCAAGGTGTTTTCTGTTTCTTGTCTGATTTTTCTAGCAGCCAAATTTTTCTGTGAGTCTTGGGCAGACAATCTATTTCCTTCATTTACAAGTTCTGTGTCTGTCACAGCATGTCTCTGAAGAGCAGGGATGTTGGTGTGATTGGCAGCCTGCTTTGCTGAGTTATCTGCGGTTTGCTTGTCAGAACACTTACTCTCTGGCAACTGTGGATCTTCGAGCCTAATTGATTTATTTGAACTTGGCAAACTTCCCTCTTTGGTAGTGTCGCTCCCATCAGATTTCCTACAAGAGAAGTCAGAAATAGCTGGGCTCACAGGCTCAACATGTTCTCTTTGCACCAAGGTCCCATCACTCATCACTGAGCTGACATCCTTCACTGTAGTTTCTGTTGTAGTTACCCCGTGAAAATCTGGGCTGCAAGGAACTTTGCTACCATTACTTCCTATAAACAATGCTGAACATACCAAATTCCTGTCAGTCTGAGAAACTGGTGCACCATTTAAATGGTGCTGTGAATCAGATTCTCTAACAGAGCTGGAGTTAGTCCCAGAAGAAGGGGATGGCCTACTTCTCACAGGTCCCCCAAGATCATTTTTATTTAAAACATCCTTAGAAAAAGCAGTATTGGGCAAATCTGGGTTGTTTGTCAGATGGCTTTCTGTGTTAAGATTTATTTTGCTACAATCAGAGTCTTCTGACAGGCCTTTGAGCAAATGTCCTTTCATAGATAAGTCCGTGCTAGCTGATGACAATGACGACGCCATCCTAGCCTCCGTCTCACTTCCAGGGCCAATGTGGATGCTTGTGCTAGAGTCAGAACTTTCATTTTCTCCGTCCGAGGGAGTCACAGTTTCCAATGCAATCTGGTGCTTCAAATATTTCCTAATTTGCCTGGGGCCTCGATATGTTGCATACGTTACTGACGGCCTCTCTGGTTTACGTTGTCTGTAAAAAGCAACAGCACAACAGTATCAGGAAATACAGTTAGTAACACTTAGTAGTAATCCTAGAAAGTGTGGTAAGGCCTCTCAAATTATTCCTACTTTTAATATGTATTAATTGGAGATGGAAATCCTAAAATGTTGTAGTTAAACCTGTCTTTATTTAAAAAAAAAATAATAAATATTTGACAAGCAGCATGTGAATGTCAAGGGAGCATGAATGTTCGAGCTCCTTAGAACCTTTCCCCCTTACCTGATTGTGTACATCTCTCTCACTGTGGTTAATGGAGAGAATGTAGGCTGACAAGTCCGAGGCTTAGGTTTTAGTTATAATCTCAAAGGAGTGCTCGACTGGAAGGAATTATACTGTCTTTATGCCTCATACTGGCAAGTTTGTGGATACGTCACTGAATTCTCCACCATATCAGAGCATCATAGTAAGCTTCTCTTCCTTTACTCTTAGATGTGAATTTAAAGAGCAACTTTGAGCACATAGGGGGAGAACTTCTAAAGGAAAACAACTGGTGAGATGTCTAGCTCACATCAAGCACTCAGTATATATTAGTTAACTCAATGACAGAATTGCCTTAAAAATCCTCTCACGTTAAGGTCTTCAGATATTCAATCAGTGTAGTGAGTATTAAAATGCTTGGGTAAGTGCAGGAATAAAAAGGGACTTCTAGAAAAAGTTCTCTACTTCTTCTCAGACCCCGCACAAAGTTCCTCGGCTCTCAGCATCCATCTTCCTTTGAAGAATCTATCTCTGGGAGTTCTCATGCTATCTGATGCTGCCTACTAGCCCTTCACACATACTCTCCCCTTCAGTCCCAGCCTCAGAGAGAAACTCTAGGGTCTTCTAAGACTTAGTTCACGAGTTATCTCCAGAGCAAACCTATCCCAAAGCCCCTTTCCTGCTAACAGGAAAGGTAGCCTCTGATCTGTGGGTGCACAGAGCCCTGGGCACAGCATTTGCCATATTAAATTATAAAGATCTAGGCACTTATTTATTTTCCCCCCGCTCGCCTGGTGGCTATTTGAAGGAAGGCATGGTGTCTTAATCATCTTTATATTTGTAAATGCCCCCCCCACAAAATTTGGGAAACAGTATATGTGTAATAACTTTCTGTGCATTAATGAATGACTAAATAAAGCAATGACAGTAAATGCTTAGTGTGCAATTTATTCCAGACTGTCTTAGTTATTATAGATGATATAAAAGTGTTTTAAATTGTGAACTCTAATTTCATTGACCCTAGAGATGGATGGTAGAAAAATTTGATGTTCTAATGTTTTCAGGTTAAACATAAAATTAACAAAACATGATAGAATCCACATGAATAAGTAATCCACTTACCAGTATCCCACTATCTAATATAATACCTTTTCTCCCCAACTTTAAAGCAGCAACATGAAGAATACTAGACTTGTCTACATGATAAAGAGAAAGTAAACCTCCTCTGACACAATGTCAAATTTTCATCAACTGTGCTCCTTATGTACTTCTTGAATTTTAGCTGAAATACTGTATTTCAAACTATATAATTGCTGGCCCCTCAAATCCTATCACACCACTATTGTAAAATCTTGTATTGGTCACATGCATGTTTTTACTGTCCATCATAAAGCACATGAAGGAGAAGCATAGAGAAAGGCTTTGCCTTACAAAAGTGGTTTTAGCTTCAGTATGTGTGTCAGGCTAGATCAAAGACTATTATGAAACAAACTCAAAAGTGAGTAAGATAATGTCTATGAAAACACGCAAAAGGAGAAAAATCCATGTAGGTAAATTAACATTACTGGTGAAATCTGCTATCAAAATACAGTAATTATTCAGAAATCACAAGAGCCTTTAGAACAATATATGAAGATCCAGAAGCCTGAATAAATGACAAGAAATTTTATTGTCTGGTCAGTTTTTCTTTCAAAGCTTTAATGTTTTATACTTAAAACCAACTTTCAACAGGCTGCAGTATTTTTTTTCCTCAAAAGATAGATAAAATAATGGGGCGCCTGGGTGGCTCAGTTGGTTAAACGACTGCCTTTGGCTCAGGTCATGATCCTGGAGTCCCGGGATCGAGTCCCGCATCAGGCTCCCTGCTCGGCAGGGAGTCTGCTTCTCCCTCTGACCCTCCTCCCTCTCATGCTCTCTGTCTCTCATTCTCTCTCTCTCAATAAATAAATAAAATCTTTAAAAAAAAAAAAAGATAGATAAAATAATTCTGAAGAAATGGCTACACGAATAAATATACATGATGTCTACAGAAATAGGAAATGAGATAGGAAGCAGAATTTTATTCTAGTAACCTTAGTTCTCTTACTACCAACTCCCTCCTAAAGAGACCTCAAGACATTTTATCCTGCACCAATCCAATAATGCACCTTTTCATCTAAAAGTCTAATAAAATAAACCATACAGGAAAACCCATTAAATTTCAACTCCCTCTAATAATGCCTTCTGGTAGTTCTGGAGTCCTTTGGGGGGATGAGGGGAATAATTTTCCTCCATTTTTTTAGGACTTTCTGGGTAGTTTCAACTAAAATGATTAAATTGATTTATACGAACTAGTTTAAATTTCTAACTCGATAATCTCCTGCAGCACCTGGGTGGAAATGTTATATAATTATAACTAAAATATGCACTGTTTATACTGAACAACTATATTATCATGTTTAAAGCACTGAACATCAAAGTTTCAAGCTCAGCTTCATGTACTGTAATTAGTTCTGTCAGGTACTGATGACCTGCACTCCCTCTTTTTAAAAGGTTAGCCATGCCAACGTAGTCTATTTTCTACATCATTCTTTCCCAGGATGCAGTTGAGTCTCCATAATTTAGTATTAAGAATATAAAACTGTCCTTTAATTGCTAATTTTTCCCTAGTAAATAAAGGAGAAATGTCAAAAACATGTAATTTTAAAAATAAACTGAAGATGGAAAATTAAAAAGATTTTTCATAAGCTGCATAGAGAAAAGGGAGTATTAATTTCATGTATTATGTAAACTGTGTATGGGATCTACAGTTCATCCTATGCAACCAGAGGTATGTGCTCCTCCCCCCTCAACAGATAGCGATGTCTTCTTATGCAGTGTCAGCTGCATTCCTGAGACACGATGGTCAAGGTCAAGTCTCAAATGGACTGGTATCTGATCTCCAGGGTTTTAACTCTGGCAAAGTGGATACCGTTGCCACCAATGACCGCTTCATTGACCTCAACTATACGGTCTATATATTCTGGTACGATTCTACCCATGTCAAACTCAATGGCATAGTTAAGGCTGAGAATGGGAAACTTGTCATCAGTGGAAAGTCCATCTCCATCTCTCAGGAGCGAGATCCTGCCAACATCAAATGGAGTGATGCTGGTGCTGCGTATGTTGTGGAGTCCACTGGTGCCTTCGCCACCATGGAGAAGGCTGGAATTTTCTTGAAGGGTAGAGCCAAGAGGGTCAACATTCTCTGCCCCTTCTGCTCATGCTCCCATGTTTGTGATGAGTGTGAACCGTAAGAAGTATAACAACTCCCTCAAGATTGTCAGCGATGCCTCCTATACCACCAGCTGCTTGGCCTCTCTAGCCATGGTCAACCATGATAACTTTGGCATTGTGGAAGGACTCATGACCACAGTCCATGCCATCAGTGCCACCCAGAAGACCATGATGGCCCTTCTGTGAAGTAGTGGTGTTATGGCCAAGAGGCTGCCCAGAGCATCATCCCTGCTTCTACTGGCATCACCAAAGTTGTGGGCAAGGTCATCCCTGAGCCGAATGGGAAGCTCCCTGGCATGTCATTCCATGTCCTCACCCTCAACATGTCAGCTGTGGATCTGACCTGACACCTGGCAAAAGCCTCCAGATACGATGACATTAAGAAGGTAGTGAAGCAGGCATCAGAGGGTTGTCTCCTGAAACTTTAATAGTAACCCCCACTCTTCCATCTTTGATGCTGGGACTGGCATTGACCTCAAATACCATTTTGTTCAGCTCATTTCCTAGTACAACAATGAAGTTAGCTACTGAAACCAAGTCGTAGACTTTATGATCCACATGGCCTCCAAGGAGTAAGAGCCCCCTGGACCATCAGCTCTAGTAAAGGCACAAGAGGAGAAAGAAGCCATCAGCCACTGGAGAGTCCTTGCCCCCTACTGATCCCCAAGACACAGAGACAGTCCCAACCTTGACATTGGTGTTTCCATCCCAGGCCCCCTAAAGGACAGGAGGGGTTTAGAAAGCCCTACCTTGTCACAGATCAATAAAAAATACTGTACCCAGACTAAAAAAAAGGGGGGGAGAACAAAATAACTTACCTATACATTTCAAATATTTAAGCAGACATACGTACATATTGGAAATTTGAAAAGGTTTATGCATCTTAGCCCAAGACATACCTATCATGTGAAGATTTATTAAGCCTCTAGATAGTATACAGGGCTGTACTCTTCTTTGCATATATTTGATATACTTGATATTTCAAAGGTCAACCAAAGACATGTGTCATTCTTCAAAGAAAATTCTAAACAGCCCAAAAATATAGCCTTAGAGCAAAGTCTCTAACTCATTTTTAGGAAAGTATGATTAAGCTACCTTTTCAGCATGAAGCTATATTTACTTCCAAATTACATAGTTAACAATATCTTCTCTTACAATAGGGAAGACTTTTAACTTTTCCATGTAAAGAAAAGTTGCAAATCCAGCAATTTTTAATTTTATTTATTTATTTGGGGGGGGGGCGGGGAAGAGCGAGAGAATCTTAGGCAGGCTCCAATGCCCAGTGTAAGGCAAGTGATGCGGGACTTGATCTCACAACCCTGAGATCATGACCTGAGCCAAAAAAGAGAGTTGGATGCTTAGCTGAGTCACCCACATGCCCCCAGCAATTTTTTTTAAATCACATTAAAGTTTTGGGGCACCTGGGTGGCTCAGTTGTTAAGCGTCTGCTTTCGGCTTGGGTCATGATCCCAGGGGTCCTAGGATTGAGCCCCGCATCGGGCTCCTTGCTCAGCGGGGAGCCTGCTTCTCCCTCTCCCACTGCCCCTGCTTGTGTTCCCTCTCTGGCTGTCTCTCTCTCTGTCAAATAAATAAAAATAAAATCTTAAAAAAAAAAAATCACAATGAAGTTTTGATAGAAAAAATTTTCATTATGGATATGAATGTGTTGAAAACAAAAATCATAGAACTTTTAAAGATTTCAACCCAACAATGAAATAGGTTCCTAATAAATTACTCTGGAAGCATAAGTTAATGTATGGAAGACATTCTCAAAGTTGTTACCAAACAGGTTTAATGAAAGGCTTTATGGATATTAAAAATGAATTCTGCATAGTAAACTATACATAAAAACAATTACAAAGCTGTTCATTAGTTTTAATTAAGTGAAGATGAAATCATTTCCTGTGGCTTTTGAGGATTTTTTTTTTAAACACGTTTCAAATTATAGGTCATTACTTATCTAAATTTTGAAAACTGTAATAGTGATTTCAAATGTATGTTTGATATTATAGTAATGGGACAGCATTATACAGCACAGAATATTTTATAAACTTGCCTAAATTAAGCTAATTATTAACCCTTTTTAATACACTGATTGTAAAAGATCTATAGAGGGGAAAAAGGGGCATTTTTACATGAAAAAGATGATGCAAAACCTGAAAATTCACTCTTCCTTATATTAAAAAATTGAAATCTTTTATTACACTGAAATCTCCTACTAATTTCAGAAGTATAAATTCTGATGAGCGAAAACACTCTCCAAAGGCCTGAGATACAAGAGAGGCCATTTCAGGTTTCTAAGTCAGCATGACTGTACGTTAACTTTGTTTAATCCAGAAGCCTGATTTATGGCTCACCAAGCATACACTGTATACCTGCTTTATAAATGAGTGACCTATCAAAAAACCATCTTGACCTTATGATATTGATCGATGCTCCTACTCCCTGCATTTCTTGATGTTAAAACCTGTGATTCCTGTCTATATGCTAATCTATAATCTTTTGAGGTTTACAAGATGTAAAAAAGCATATAACCCTGTAAAAACTTTTTGTTCTCCAGAGCACTTTCTTCCTTGGGAAGTGCGTGCTTTCTGGCCAGCTGTTCTAACATGGGCTTGAATAAAACGCTTACCTTCAGAGATTCAACAAATCTTAATTTTAAGTAACATTTTATATTTGGAATATTCTCATGATCTTGATAAAAAATTAAATATATCCTTGCTTTTAGTAAATTCATATCACAGAACTAAAACAACTTTAATACTAATAATACAATCTTAAAATTATTAGTAAATATCTTCTCCAGATATATTTATAAAATTGGTTATAAGTAGTTCTTAATCCTATTGTCAAAATAAACTGTTAACCAAAATGGTATTCAACTTTTATACGATAATTCCTCAACAAGTTGACATTTGTCAATAGGAAGTTACTAACTGCAATTCTACACCTGATAATTTGTAGGACTTCTGAAGCTGGGCCAGAGGAAGCTTGTCTCTCAGTCAAGACAAAGGCTTTGTGGAGCTGGTTCTGGTAATTACCTCAAGTAATTATTCTATTAATAAGGAGGGCTTTTCCAACAAGAAATAAGAGGCACAGTATCATGTTCCAATTTCTTTTGTCTAGTACCAAAGAAATAAACCTGACCTACTAATCAAAACCAAAGGGGGAGGGACGCCTGGGTGGCTCAGATGGTAAAGCGTCTGCCTTCGGCTCAGGTCACGATCCCAGGGTCCTGGGATCCAGTCCCACGTCGGGCTCCCTGCTAGGCGGGGAGCCTGCTTCTCCCTCTGCTGCTGCCTCTATCTCTCTCTCTGACTCTCATGAATAAATAAAAAAAAATAAAAATAAAAAATTTTAAAAAACCAAAGGGGGATTTAAAAAAAAGGGGGGGGTAGGAAAAAATACAACCTTTCTGATTCACCTAATTCCCATACAACAGCCTCAAAATCCCCACCACTTTAATACTCTGGTACAAAAAGCCATCTGGAGAGGTTGTTAGAGAAGACTGCTGGGCCCTACTCCCAGAGATTCTGATTCAGTGGGTCTAATCAGATAATTTGTATTTCTAATGATTCCCAGGTGATGCTGATGATGCTAATCCAAACACCACATTTTAAATAGCACTACTTTAGATAATCCTTTATTATAGAGGTACTCCAATTTAACCATTTTTCTGCTGTTGAACGTTTGTTTCTAATGATATGTTCCTGTAAATAATGCTTCAGCAAACACTCGTGTCTATCATTAGAAATAACCTACAAGCTTTTTAAGGTCCTTGACACATGCTGCTCTAAGCTATAACTTCCACTCCTAGCACTGTATATGGAGCATCAGCTCTATCAACTCTGAGTAATACAGAAAATCCTCATTTACTGTTACTGTTACCAATTTAATAGGAGAAAGGTTATTCCATTTTAGTTTGCATTTCCTTGACTGCTGGTGAGAATAAGCCTTTCTTCCACTTATGTATTAGCACTTAATATTTCTTTTGTTTATATTGGTTGCTGTTTTTTTTTTCTATTGTTGAGCTAGTATCTAAAATGTTTATCAGTTAAAGCATTCTATGATATTTTTTGTACCTAATTTTCTCACTTGCCCATATAAGGTATCATTGTTTATTTTGTTTGACATATGGAGTTTGAAAATTAGAAGTGATCCAATCTACTGATCTCTTTCCTGACACTTTCCTAGGAAAAAAGAAAAAAAAAAAGAGAAAGCTGTTTCTCACCAACACAGAATAATTCCCATTTAGCTACTCTTAGTTTTGTATTTAAAAAAAATTTGTTCCTCAATTTTGTTTCAGTATAACGAGTTAAGTGTCTAGCTTTTATTTTTTTCTCCAAATTGTTCATCAATTTCCCAAAGTCCTCCTTTATATAATACAAAAAAAAAAAAGAGGACATAAAAATGCCATCACATTCAAGGGTTCAAATCACATATATACAAGGGTCTACTTCTGGACAATCCATTCTGTTCCACTTAAATGTTTAGTAAATATTACATCAGTAGGACACGGTTTCAAATTCTGTAGCTTTACCAGCACCCTGACATCTGGTAGGGCAAGCCCTACCCCATCCATCATGATGGCAAACTCAAATCTGTCTGGGTCTTATTTTCTCACAAGGGTGGGTCTGTGTCTACTTCTGGAACTTGCTATGAGGAATTAGCTCAAAATATATACATGAAGACACTCTGAAACTATAAACAACTACACAGTGAGCTCTAAGTTATCATCTACATCTGACTATATAATTACTGATGACCTCTTCAAATAATACAATTCACAGGTAGAAGTTAAATCAACATAAAATATTAGTTATGAATGAATACTTCTGTGTTACACAAAATGGATAATGAACTAAACATTGTTATATACATTTTCTGCGTAGAAAATAATCCTTCTAGCTCATCTGAGTAAAAGAAAAACAAGTTGGTGCCTGTTTGTCAAAGAAAGAAAAAAGGGATGGTGAAATCATCTTTACATCTGTGCAAGATTTCAGTTTCTCAGAGCTGTGGATATAAATCACAAGGCCAGTTTTACAAGTAGAAGTCAATTTAACTTCTTTAACCCCTTTAATTTCATTCCACAAAGAAAAGATATTAACAAAATGTGAATACAAACCTTAGAATCATTTTTGTTCCCAAAATTCAGATCCTGACTCACTGCCTGTCCTAATACAGGAAGAATTCAGACAACAGAAAACACGCTCATTCAAGGAAGTCTTAAATTAGAAATAAATCTTGTACTATAACAAAGTTAGCACCTAAAAGGTATCAGTACTGCCCCTTAAAATAGGTCCAAAGGCCCTAGATCATATGTATGATACACAGAATCATTTTTTTTTTAACCTAGTAGCAGGGACATTAGAGAATACTTTTTCCAATCCCCTTAATTAATAAGAGAACTAAGGCTTAAAAGCTAGGTCCAAAACCTCACTTTTTTGGCTAAGTAAACTGTAAACTTACTTTAGTAAATCACTGGTTTCCTGTTCACTGTCCTGTGTTGTATCCAAAGAAAAGGCATCTGATGTTTCAGCTGAGTTGGACTCAGGTTCTTCTGCTGGAAGCGCCTGGGTTCCCAGGGAGCCACCGAAAATCTCCCTCTCCCTTTTGACTCCTTCCTCAGGATGGTCACTGGGATTCTGTAGATCTTTCTCAGTTCTGTCATGGTCATCTTTGAAAGAAGATTGCTTGGCATCACCAAGAGATGATTTTCCTGAGATATTGAATAAGTTACCAAGAAACTGAAAAAAGCTTTCTTTTGGCTGTCTATCGTTTTCTCCTATTTTGGTATCTGAGGTGGAACGGGAAAGGTCATTTGGCTTTTTGGAATCTTCCTGCGTTGGAGGAGTGATTAGCTTCTCAGCATGGTTCTTTTTGTCCTCACTTTGGGGAATCTTTGAAAAAGAAACAGAGAATAATAAACATCGTCATTTAAAAAAATCACACAAATTGACTAATAACTTCTTATATGACACGCTTTGTGCCAGATGCGAGGGATACATCTGTGAGTAAGACTGATGGCTTCTGATTCCTCCGGCCGTTTACAGTCTAGTGAAGGGCACGGTCAACACAACTTAAAACTATATAGTAAACCTCATGAAGGGAGGAATACAGCCCATGTGGGAAGCCAGAACAGGAGTAACCAGTCCAGGGTTGGTGGCAGTGACGGCAGAGGAAGATTCCTAGAAGTGCCCTCGGAAGGACACGTACTACGTGACTATGTGATGCTTGTGCATCCCCCTCCTTCCCTGGCTCTCTCTCCTCCTCCTCCCCCACTCTATATAGTGATGTGCCAGCTTCTAAGAAGTTAAAGATGAATGGAGGTTAGGGTACAAAATGAGAAGAGTGAGGGATGTGTAGGGAGAGATAAGTAAAGGGACAGATCATGGCAAATTTTAGGCATATTTAAGTTTAGCCTTAATTACTCAGAGCTAATGGACAGTACTTTCAAGCACTCTGTACATTAGATAACACCTAAATAGACCTCATTTCAGCACTGTCCTAACACACAAAGAAGCTGCCACATTGTGTAAAATTGTTTCTCAGTAAGATGAGGAAAGACAGCAACATGGTGTTATCAATTCAGAGGAAAAGCCCACTATCCTTAGTGGTAAACCACAAAATCCTCAGATGTGCATTAATGCAAACCCTGTGCAGTACTGCGAACTCTTGCAGATGTTCAACACTTTCACGGGTGTGTTTTACCTGCTCATAATGAAGTTACTAATAAAACACACTCACACTCCTGTGTACTCTCTGTGAGCAAAGACTGAGCTGCTCTATCAAAGAGTTTGCTGGCACTCCCTGTCACACTCTCCCCTGAAGCTTCATTAACCTTAGGCCCATGTGCCAACTCAGCCTGCCTTCCAAACATGCCTACTCACCTACTTGTAAAAGGAATGCCTGTCTGACAGTATCTGTCAGATGTCATGCTCACTAGTCCTTTTAAAAGAAAAGCTCCAGTGTGAGTCAGAAAAAGATCAGAACAGCAAGGTAAAACCACCTTAGGGCACTGTCAGTTCACATGACAAAGTTTTGTAAGAGGCTGATCCTCAAGGAGGCAAGAGCATCATAATTTCAATGTTATTTGTTTACCTCGTTCCATATTTTAATCCAAATTCAAAATAGTTTTAATGGAGTGTTCCTCTAACCACTAACACAATTTAGCATATGAAAGCTTGAGAAAAGGTTTAGAACCTATTAGCCCAGGTAATTAATTTCAAGCAATATTTAAAGTCTGTTCTCCACTTGCAGAGTCAGAGGGTATTTTTGAGGAAACATTCAGATAGCATTTTTCTGTGTTAGGAGCTTAAAAAACTCGTGAGTCTCTACATTTAGAATATGACCAACCTTCCAGAGTCAAAGTCTCACCTTTTACTGGTTTCAACTGCAACTCACTCCCACTTGTCTCCACCTCATCCCTCCAACCTTGTGCTCATTATTGGGAGAATGTGCTATAAATTAGCTGTGTCCTCTCCTCACATAAAGGGCCTCTCAGTTTGGCAAAAGAAATGCTAGTTGACATTTCAAAAATGCTCATGTGTATGAAGATATACATTTTTTGTCCTTTAACTATGCCATTTAATTTGTTGTAATTATCAGCCACAACATTTCTTCCTGAGTTAAAATGAACTAAGACTGTAACATGAACATAACAGTGTATTTCTTTTTTTTCTATAGCTAGTATGAATGACTGCTCTTGCTGGGTAGCTATCTGAAGGAAGTAAACCGTAGGCTATTCATTAGAATATCATAAGTATTCTTAAAATGCTTCAGAGATTCACAAGAGTCTTATAAAATTGGGGCAATGGTTTAAAAAAAGGGGGGATATTAAGAGAACATGAAGATTACATTTTTTTGACATCGATAAAATCTCAAGATGACTTCTGTCAAAAATACTATTTATTTCACTGCCTCAGCTATTTTTTACTTGACAATTCCTTCCAAAATACAATAAACTGCTTTCTAAACAAAAGAGGTACATTTTGCTAAACAAGTGAAAACCTTTACATTTAATTTTATTTTTAAAAAGATTTTACTTACGTATTTGAGAGAGAGAGAGAGAAAGGAGAGAGTGAGCAGGGGAGGAACAGAGGGAGACGGACAAGCAGACTCCACCAAGAGCATGGAGCCCCACATAGGGCTTGATCTCACGACCCTGAGGATCATGATGTGAGCTGAAATCAAGAGTCAGAGGCTTAACCGACTGAGCCACCCAAGTGCCCCTAGATTTAACCTTTTTAGAATTATACAAAAAATTTTTTTTGAAAATCACTTTTTTCCTTCCCTTTATTTTCAGCTTCTTTGCTATTCCAGAATCTGTATCTTCAGTTTACTAAACAGTACTTTTTGTCCTTAGATGTCTCCATTTCTTAATTTTTCCCTAATAATCTTCTGAGAAATTTGTGTCAGTGAAATACTCCCAACAAGAAAAAAGCATCTAAATCTAGGAACAAAAACTAGCAGAAAAGAGCACTGCTATTCAAAGTAAACACAATAAATTCTTTATTTATATAATTAAAATTTTAAGTCTGATCTAAAACAGCTGCTCTTTCCCCTCAGCCTAAACAACAATAAAATTCAGCCTGCCACAAGCGAGGGCCAATGCTGCCTGCCAAAAGGACTGCCTGCCAATGTTCCAATGAGTAGAATGAAAGCAGTCAGGATTCAAGCAAACAAAACATCAATTCCAGTTGCTCTCAAAGATGTTGGCATTCCACGTATAACAACAAAGGCTACTGATGAAGGCATATGTAACTGGGGAATTTGAAATTTTTTCCCTTCACACTCAATTTGCTATAATGCAATGTCCTTGGTCAATTTCATCCATCCATCTCCTCTCTCTGCTATGTGCCTAATACAGGGAAGCACAGAAAAGCATCAGGGACACTGATTAGTAAGACATAGTTTCAGCTTCAAGGAGCTTACAGTCTAGCAAGATACTCATTGCTTATTACTGGTGGGGCTTACAAGAGAATCCACTGCATAGAGGAGGTAACATTTGAGCTTGCTCCTGAAGGGTGAGAAGAGCATCCTAGACACACAGTATACTATGTACAAAGACACAGAATTATGAACTCTGTTTATCATGGCAGGGGTGTGGCTGAAGAAGACTAGGGTACAGAATAGAGAATGAGGTGGATAAGATGACTAATAGAAGCAGAGGCTCAGGGATAACAAAGTCATAGATCACTAAGTTTTCTAAATTGGGCAATGATTTGAGTAAAGTAAAAAATGGATATGGGAAATAGGAGAGGTGAGATCAGGATCTTGTGGGGATGGGAGGAGGTAAGGCAACAAATTACTTAGATGTCAAACACTGAATTTTTGGTCCCCTGCTGATGTAAAGATGAGATGTCTGGAAAGTAGTCAGAAGTGCAGTTTAAGAATGCAATTTGGCCATACACAGTGTATGCAGGATAAAAAGGGCTCTAGGGAAAAAAAAAAAGATTAAAAGGAGGTGCAAATTAGAGAAGAAATCAGTGAGAGATGGAGAAGGCAAAAACCAGACCAAGTCATCCCTCCAGAATACTGGTCTCCAAAGGCAAAGGACAAAGACTATTTCCAAAAGCCAGTGGGGAGTAAATGCCAAATGCCACTGTGAGGTCTAGAAAGATGACTATCCTCCCCCACTGTTCTTCAAAAACAACGGGCACACTCATGCCTCGGGAACTGTATGTACATCGACTCTTCTCTCTGCTTAGATTTTCTTCCCTTACATAGCTATATGACTCACTCCCCCTCACCTCCTTCAGACCTTTACTTACAACTCATCTCTTCATTGAAAGCTTCCCCAGTCACTCCAAAATTGTCAATTCCTCCACTCTGAAAGTGCCAATATCCTCTCTCTGCTTTTTCTCCTTTGTACTTGCTAGTGTCCAAATACACACACACATATACACTTCCATTATTTAATATCTGTTTCTTCCTCTAGAAAGTAAAAGCCACAAGTGCAGGGATTTTTGTCTATTTCAATCAGTGCAGTATCTCTAGCATCTTGAAATGTGTCTGACAATCAGAGGTGCTCCAATAGTTGTTGGATTAGTAAATAAGTAATGAGGACTATACAGAAGCCCCAGGAATGCAGGAGGAATAGTCTTAACAGCTCAGGAATGTATGAGTACAGCCCCAAACTCAAGGTGTTAAGCTGTGAGTAGGCAGGCAAGGGAACAGGAATAGTCAGTAAATAGAAGGGAGTATTTTGAGAAATTTTTTTAACAACAACAATAACAAAAAGACAGAATATGACAGTTTAAGGTCTAAGACAGAATAAATGGTTTTTTGTTCTTGTTTTGTGGATCAGCTCTATACCTACTGGAAAGACAGTAACTGCTGTACATGAGAGAAGGATGCCAGGTCCCAGAGTGAAAAGCATAAGGTGAGATAAAGAGACCAGTAGAGTCTCTAATACTTTTTCTAATAATAAAGGGGAAGTATTAGCCTTGAAGAGGATTAGGGACACGTCCTCTTCCAGGTAAAGAGGTAAGGAAGTGGCCAAGGTCTGAGCAATTCTGTAAATAGAGAAGACAAAGGGCAAGGTCCACCAAGTGGCTCTGACCTCAGTAAGTGAGAGGAGAGATGGCAAGACAAAGGAGGAACACACAGGTGGAGCTGGGACTTGGGCTCCCGAAATAGAGAAGACTTGGACGAGTGTCTCTGGGGAATGCAGTACTAGGCTGAAATGGGTATACCAAGTGGCAGTTAGGGTCCATGCAACCTCGAAATCATTCATTCACTCAGTAAGTAAGAGCAAGATACCATCCCAGGTGTTTAGATGCAACCGGAAAAAAACAAAAAAAAAACAAAAAACACCAATAGCCCTGCTTTCATGGAGCCCACATTCTAATGAATTAAGAATTTATTTGCAGGTCCAACTGGTATTAGTTTGTCACCCCCTCGAGTATCCTAGAGCATGTGGCAGGTGCTGTGCCAACATGGTAAGTGGCACAGGGAATAAAGTCAAAAAGGTCACAGGATAGAGGCTGTCACCAAAGAGCCTGTTGAGTAGAAAATAATGAAGAGCCAGGTGACCCTTCCTTTACAGTCTCAAGCACCTGGCTTGGTCATCCTTTCTACCTCAGACTCTGCCTTCATTGTGCGTAGAAAGGATGATCCTTCTGAACACCCTGACTCCCAGTTCCTTAACACCCTCAACTCCAGTGACTTTCACCTCCACTCTTCTTGCCTCTTACATTAACTCTGACCCTAGTGAGTCACCCATAACTGTGTCACCTCTGAAACTCAATCTCAGGTATTCCCCATGTGCACACCCTCTCCTCCTTCCAGCTGTCTTACTCTACTGTCCCAGGTGTACCCACCACACCACTCCTCCTGCCCCATCATAGCATCTGTCTTCTCCTACACTGTCCCTTTCAGTTCCCAGTTTCCTATCTTTTCTACCCGGCCATCAAATACAACCAGTAACCTCAAAGTCTCTGTTTTATTCCTTGGTCATCCCCACTGAGAAAAATTCCAGTGTTATCTTTTCCTAACTAAATGAGTGAGTCTTGTTTTAAAACACCACAAGGATATGCACACCATGCAGATTTGGGCTGCGAACAATTCAAAATTTACAGCCCCAGCTGGAAATCTCTCTGTAACCTTTCCTTATTTTCCACAGCAGCTCTTTCACCTTTCCCACCCACTCCACTATCCTACCCCCTTGCTCAGCAGAGGTCACTACTCTCTATTTCATGAAGATATTCCCTCATAGCCCTGACTCCTGCAGCATCGGCACACTTCCTTCACTCACTAGCACGCTCACCACGAAGGAAGGACTCCTCCTCTTCCCAAGGTGAATTCCCTCACCAGGGTACCAGTGCAGAGTCCTTGAGGACTCCTTGGGAACCACAGTTCCTCATCTGCCCCTTCTGGAAGCCCACCATTCAAAAGTAAATGCACAAGGATAGCCCTCTCCTCTCTTTACTACCAACCTCCTCAAAAAAGGGTTCCCAGCCCTCACCATCTTCTTTCCCCTTTCCTCCCAACCACTCTCTAAGCCCTTACAATCTGACTTCCTCCCTAGTTGTGCTGACCACAGTCTCTAAGAAACCCTGTCCCACTTGCTAATTCAATACACTTCTTACATGGTGCATCTGCAGAATGTGAGACTGAATCTCTTCCTGATAACCAATCTTCCATTTGCTTCCATGACATTACTCTGAGATTTTCCTTCTTCCTCTCAAACACTTTCTCCATCTCCTTCAAGCTCACATTATTCTAGCCATCCCTTACAGAACATATTTCTCCAATTTCCAGCCTGGGCCTGCTTTTTCTTCATGATCTTCTTTACGAGGTTTCATTTCCCACAGATTAATCAGATGATTCCCAGATTTTGATTTGCAGCTCAGACAGGATGTTCAACTATCAATCAGGCATCCATATCCACCTGGGTACTTCACTGGAACCTCAAGCTCAATACATCCAATACTGAATGTGTTCATGCTTTGTCTCCATTCTTTCATTTTCTGCAAATCTTAATACTTCCACTTGTTTAAAAGTCAGACAAAAACATCACCTGTTTCCTTGCTTGCACTGTCCCCAGTCCATTCTCCAGAAAAAAACTAGAGCAATCTTTTATAATTCAAATCTGGTCATCCCTAAAGGCCTTTAATCACTATCACGGCACTGCTGTCAGGATAAAATCCAACCTCTCAACCATGGCATTCAAGGTGTTGGTGGGTCTAGCCCCCTGTAACTTTCTCCAATTTCATCTCCTGCCACTCACAATGCTTCCAAATACCTAATGTCATCATATCCACCCTCATTCATTCTCTCCCCATCTCTCTTCTCCTCTCTCACTCTCTCTCCTACAGAATGTCTTTGCAATAATGCTATTCCCACTGCCGAGACCACTTACCCCTTGCCCTCTCTGTCTGGAAAATTTCTATTACAACAGAAGTTTTTTCAGAATGGAAATCGCCTATGTACATGTTCTTTCAGTGAACATTCCTAACACACTGTTTTCCCTGTCACCACAAGGTGAAAACAATTTCATCCTGAATATGACTATCACCTAAATTAACAGGTACTAAAATCTGGCACTCATACACTAAAACCAGCTGGTTACTTGAGAATTCTAGTTAATTTTCTCCTAAGACATCTGGTTGCTACATATTACTTGGCAAATTTGTCAATATTTGAAATTGTACCACCAGTAGTTAAAATTTCCTCAATTTTGAGGAAAATAATTATTTTCAGATTATTACCGATATCTTGAGCTAGCTATAGATTAAGTGGTGCTAAAATTTTAAATTAAAATTACTATTTACCTTCATCATAATGGATTTAATTTGTGGTGGGATGCCTGATTAATTCCATATAAACTATTGATACATATTTGCATGAACAAAATTTTTCAAATGGATTTCATGACTAATGGTAAGGTGCAAAGATGAACAATTTATACTCCCACTGTTAAAGTAATTTTGCTTGAAAGATAACATTACATTTTTATCACAGCATTATTTTTCCACTAAAAAGTTAGAACAGGCCAGCAGGTTGGCCTTCAACTATTTTGCTCTAAGCTGGTTATTGTTTAACATAACAAATAACCTACAACTTTTATGTCATGTCTCAGTGTTGTGATCAGTTCTGAGATGTCACAAATAACTTATTACTGAAGTTAGTTAAAAAGCTGAAATTTCACTTTTTAAAAATGCTCTAGAATAGAATCAAGGTTTTAGCTGAGGTGCTACTTTCAGTTTTTCATTTCCATGTAATCTCTGATAAAGGGATGTAGTTATATATGGTGTACCAAATAAGTGCCTTTAACCATAAGTGACCCAAGACAGTCATCTATCATATGTGTCAGAACAAACAACACAGGAGTAAAAACTGTTGATCTAAAGGAGAAAAGTCTGAAGTATAGAGTAGCAATGGGTATGGACAGGAAGAAAGGGCTGTTGATGGTCTCTGGCACAATGGGGAGGGAGACAGAATGATAGAATCATTTCCAAACATCAAGATTGGGTAATTGGTGGCACCTTTTAGCAGGACAGAGAACACAGAAAGAGAAGGGAACTAGGATAAAATAGTCTGAGTTCAACTCTGAATGTGTCAAATCTTATACCCAGCAACACTGGCAGGAAAGGTGCATCAAAGAATTGGTTCTATTACCCTGATGCTCAGCAAAACATGTTGGGCTGGAGGGACAGGTGTGAGCTTTGTCACAGGCTTAGATGTAGGTAGAAATCAAATCAACCAGGGCAGGTTGTGTAAGGACAGAAGAAAAAAGGAACAAAATGACATAAGATAGGAGAAAAGCCACTCCTTTCTGTTGTGGTATAAAGAGTTCTCCAATGAAAACACTGGGCCAGAATAATAAATGTTTTTATTTCTAGGAGAGGTTTTCAGAACCCCCTCTAATGTTCTTGAATCAATATCTGGCACCCATGAAGGTAAATGTACTCACAAAAATCTGGAGTATGTACATTACCTTTCATAAGTCTGTTTCCATTTTGATAAGGTACTCCATCATACCACAAAGTAGGACCATTACAGGTCTACAATAGAATGAGCTGCTGCAAATCAAACCAGGTGCCTTATAACACATTAAACACCCAGGAACTCTAAGATATCAAGGCCCCAGACCAGCCCCAGCCATACAGACAGGCTTCAGCCCTGCCAGTTCCTTTGGGCATCTGACCACAGAGTGACACAGTGGGATCTCTACTTCAGACACTCTGACAGCACTCAGTCTTTACAGGAGCAATCAAGGGGTAAGAATTTTTGACTTCTAGCTAAATTTCAATATGTCTATCTCCACGTATGCCTTCTTTTCAAATGTGATAGAGAATCAATGTTTCTAATAGTTATTTCTATACTATGCACCCAGAAAAAATCAGCACCATTCTCAAACAAAAGAGTTCTTTCTAAGGTTTAGTCAGACTTTATATGGCAAGAAGGCACCTCTATCCCTGAGTACCTGTGGTGTGTCTGGCATCGTGTAGTGCTATACATATTATCTCAGTTAATTCCAAAACACTTCTATGAAATAGGATTTGAACACCTCCCCTACACCCATACAGATCAGCAAACCAAAGTTCAAAGAGGTTGAGTAAATTTTCCAAGATTACAAAACTACCATATGGAAAGCTGGGATTTAAGCCCAGATTTGTCTGATTCCAAAGACTGTTCTTTCCATCACGGCATATGTTACTTTTAAAACTTTTCCAAGGGGTCCCATAGTTGACAGAAGCAGAGAAATAGTGGCTTACTATGAGACCACTCATTCCAATCATCAACATTCCTATCAATTAAAGCTAATCTATTTATAAATGGGTTCCAAATGTGATTAAGTTGAAATTTTTTAAAGAGTTCCTGTATTTGAAAAAGAAAAATTTGAAAATCTTTTATTAATTTGATGTCATACTGCTGCTATTATCTGTATCGCTGAGAAAAAAGGATAGCAAGCATTTATTAAGGCCGTAATTTATTCAAAAATTAGTTCAGTAATCAATTTTCCCCTAACCTAACCAAGAAAATATTTTTTTAAAAAGATTTTATTTAT